TCTCAATTAAATCTGCTAACCCGCTTGAATACAGTAAATTTTGATCGAATTCATTTCTTTTAATTTCTTACCAAGGTGAGCTTAGTTTATATTAGTTTCGAAAATTACGTATTTTATACTCGCATTTTAAACAAAATACTCATTTTGATCCAAAAGAATTCCGATGATTTTCAAACTAATTACTGATATACTTACTCTTAGCCTATTTCATGTTTTACGAGAAGAAAATTGCCTCGATGGGAAGTGACCAGTATTGTATTTTGAAAATGCTTGTTGCTATCGTAAGTTAGTATATATACTGGCCGGTTTGTTTGTAAGCGATATCGCAACATACATTCTAAATTGGAACCGTTCCATGTACACAGCACAACTAATATCTAGTCGAGCATTATGCAGCCTTTCTTCATAAAGAGTTTCCTTTTGTAGCACCACTTTATGTCATTGAACCGAAAGATTGAGGAATGATCAGTCAGTTGTCTGACAGCCTGTCCGCGGAGCAAAGACACGTAATTTGTTATTATGTTATATTTATTTTTTCTTATTAGTCCTTTGCATAGTAAAATTTTTCTGAAATTGCAGTTCGACCTGAAATCGTCTCTCATCCTCGAGCGAATGTCACAAAAGAAGAGGGAAGTAATTTGACTTTATTTTGTAATGCCACCGGAAACCCAGCACCGATGATATTGTGGACTAAAGATGGATCTCCCATAAACAATTCTAGGATCAGTTTTTCAATACAAAACAGGCTGTTGAACATATCAAATGTGAGCAGAACAGACAGCGGCCGCTACCGATGTGTAGCGAACAACAGCCTGGGAAATGATATCTCAAACGTTGCTGCTGTTGACATCCAATGTAAGTTCTCATCTAACTTCTGTATTGGTATGAATACTCTACTTTCTCTTACCAGGGTATGTGTAGCGTTTTGATACTCGGCGTCGACTGACGGCAGCTTTCACGCTTTTTTCTCCAATTCACCCTTCTTTTGTTTCTCTCAACTTTTGCAATAATTACTGGCTAATAAACATGATCTCTGAATAGCATTTGCTCTTACCCTCTTCAGTACACCTTTCATCATATGGTTTTTTTTAGCTTAAAACGGAAGTGCAGTCATGCATGCATTTCTATGCAGACGTTTTGTTTATCAGTTATTTGCCCTTTGCTAACAAGATTAATTTCAAAATTGCAGATAAACCTGACATTACCACTCATCCTGAAAATGAGGATATAAAAGAAGGAGGAAACGTGACCTTTTCTTGTAATTCTACTGCAAATCCATTACCGACGACATCATGGACTAAAGATGAATCGCCTGTAACTAACGATTCGAGGATCAGTTATTCCGTTGTCAATAAAGTGTTGACGATAACGAATGTGAACAGAAATGACAGGGGACAATACAAATGTGTGGCGAGCAACGAACTTGGAAAGGATATGTCAAAAGCTGCTAAATTAAATGTGAAATGTAAGTTCATTGGATTTTCCTTTAAGATATCGATTACAAACATATTAGAGCATTTTAATACGCAAAGTCTCTTTTGTAGAAAAGACCTTTGAGTAACGTCTACGGGGAAATGGATATTTTAAAATCTTCTTTTTCGAGTCCTCGAAAACGATCACGAAATGTACGTAGGAAATAATTTAGCCGGAGAAAAAACTCTCCCATGAATGGCCATAATAAGGTGGTCGAGAATAGGCTTTAATCCTTTAACTCCCATAAGTGACCAAGAGAGAATTTCTCCTTACAGTGTCAATGCAATATTAAGCAGACAAGTAACGAGAATAAAGAAAAATAGCGATTAGGGGATAATTATTTGATCCAATAATAAATTCTCTGAACTAACATTATAAGAATTTTATGGTTGACATTAAGGAGAATTACATGTTTGATCTGGGCATTAGATGGTTAAAAGATTTGAAAGTGTGCACATCTTAGATGACAGCTGTTAGGAATAACTACTTAAGAAAGAGATTTCTTCGTGTTAAACACTTTTGATGACTCCCTTATATCTCCGTCGTCTTGTAAAAACTGTACTGAGCACTTGTTCAAGATATACGCAAAAATGTTTGTTCAAAAATTTGACCACAACTTGTTGTATAGTAACATGATTGTAAAAAACAATTTTTAAGCATAGCCCTGCTTATTGTGTTTTTTGTACATCTCAGATCGCCCTGAGGTAACAAAACATCCGCAGAATGTTACGGAAATAGAACGAAATAATGTGACCTTAACTTGTAATGCTACCGGAAATCCAGAGCCACAGTTTTCGTGGTTTAAAGATAAAGATCTCGTGAAAAGCACCAACAGGATTTATTTGTCAGCGAACAACTCGCTCCTGACAATGACAGATGTGAACAGAAACGACAGCGGAAGATACCTCTGTGTCGCCCGTAATGAAGTTGGAAACGATACCTCGAAAATTGTGGTATTAGATGTACAATGTAAGTAAAGCACTATCCATACAATTATATGCTGTAAGTAGAAGTGAGACAAGGCTTTTAATTGTGAAGTGCGCATACAGATTGTTTTATAAGTTCGTGCCCTTTTTTGAACTTTCCGAACTGTCTGTTTTATGAAGCATTGCAAGTCAGAAGCCATGTTCACATTTTTTCTATGGACATCTTCAGTATCCCACATGTCCCCCTTTGCTGCTGAAGCACCGTTTCAGCTTTGCCATTTTTTTAAATATTACAAGCATATAAACTGCTCGCTTCAAAACCAGTCAGAGATTACCAAAAGGGATTTTCCTAAATAATGATTTGTTTGTATTTTTACGTTCATTACACTTCAGTTTTCGCTAGCTTAAATGGAGAGCGAACGGTAATCAAATTGGTAAGTTCCAGATTGTGCACGGAAACGTTTTTCTTTATTCAGATGAGTCATTTGTCTCGCTGAATTGTTTAATTCCAAAGCGCATTGTCTGGTTAATATCCATTCACACTAGCAAAACATATTTAAATAAACTGAGTTCAACTGAATGAAATTATGACGTATAGGACTAAAAAAACATATTTTTCATAGGTTTCAAGTCGTCACTAACTTACTTAATTTGAAGTCGACAAGTTTGAGCAGTTTCTGGGAAGTAAAAAATTTAAACCCGTGTTTAACAAAACAGCTTAAAACATGTTTCCGCTTTGGTTTAAATGAGGTATAAGTGGGTTTTTATACATTGTAGATCGACCTGAGATAGCTACTCAACCGCAGAATGACACAACAACAGAGGGAAAAAATGTGACATTAACTTGTAATGCTACTGGAAATCCAGAGCCAGTGCTTTCATGGTCGAAAGATGGAAATCTCGCGAAAAGCAGCCACAGGATCAGCTTTTCAGCAGACAACAAGCTATTGAAGATAACGAATGTGAACAGAACACATAGCGGAAAATACCTGTGTTTCGCTCATAATGAAGTTGGGAACGCCACCTCGAAAATTGCCATGTTAAATGTTCAATGTAAGTGAGCTTTATACGTAGAACTATTTACTTGCTGGAGAGCTAAGACCAAACTTTAATATATTTCATGTTTCTTTATAATCAGCGTACGCGGGTCTGCTTTAAAGTGAGAAATTTTTTGTTGGAAAAGGTGAATACCTTCAGAATAATTAACCAAGTACCATTTGTATAGAGATACTGAGTGGATGAGGAACTAGGATAAAATCCATATCCGTCTACCTATTTCGTTTCAGATAAACCGGAAATTATCACTGATCCCTCTGGTGACATGATGAAGGAAGGACAAAACAGGACCTTTTATTGTAACGCGACTGGAAATCCATTACCGGCAATATCATGGAAAAAAGATGGACATTCTATTGGCAATAATTCCAGGATCAGTTATTCAGCAGAGAGCAACGAGTTGAGGATAATAAATGTGTACAGAACAGACAGTGGAAACTACCGGTGTGTGGCTAACAATAGCATTGGTAATGCCAGCTCAGATGCTGCTACATTAGTTGTTGAATGTAAGTATTAACAACAATGATAATAATAATAACAATAATAATAATATTCAATTAAGGAACCCAACTCGCCAAGGCGGTTTTTAGTGGGCCCCGATAAATAATTTATTGAATTCTTCTAACTTATTCGATAGAAAGTCAGCCCGGAAGTCTGGAAAACAGTCATTTTGGTCTTGAAGGTCATTTCAGTTGGTTCAGCCATGTCTGCTGTAAACATAAAAGACCACTGAATTGTCGAATTCAAAAAGATATTGGCGCTTATAGCTAGCGTTGCTAATGTTCATTGCAACTGTTTTACAATTGTAGATAAAAGTGAGATTACCACTCATCCTAGTAATGTGACAAAAACAGAAGGAGAAAACATTACGTTACACTGTAATGCTACTGGATATCCGCCCCCTACTCTATCATGGACCAAAGATGGGTCTGACATAAGTAACAATTCCAGGATCAGCTTTTCAGCAGACAAAAAGCAGTTGGCAATCACCAAAGCGAGCCGAGTAGACAACGGAGCATACCGATGTGTTGCTAACAACAGCCTTGGAAATGATACGTCTATGGCTGCCGTTGTAGATGTTCAGTGTAAGTAAGCGGAATATTCACGAGACAACTAGTTATTGGGATCATTAACTAGGGTTCGATAGTCCTAAAAAAAAGGCCGTAATGTTTTGGTTCGAAAAAGGTTAACGGTTAGTTAAACAGCGGCTTTTAAGCTTCCCAATTTAGATAAATTCAAGGTCGCCAGTTTTGTACTGTGGCTCTTAAGGACACTTTCTTGGGTTGCGAATTACGTCAAGCGGCAAACATGTCTGCTGCAGATAGTCACATTACGTTTGAGTTAACAAATCCCAGACGAAAGGAAAAACAGAAACAAGTTGAGAAAAATTTGACACGAGAAAGAATTAAGAAGAAAAGTAAGAGCAGCTTTGGAACCGCACTACTATGCAGCTATGGACACTTGAGTAAATGTTTTCAGCTTGTAATTGAATGATAATTTCTATTTCGCATTGAGAAATCTGTTTGATAATTCGCATATCTCTGAAACTTATCAAACTTGCACGATTTTCTAATTAATAACTATGTTTTTTTTAGTTGCACCTGAAATCTCCATACATCCGAGGATTGTCACAATAGTAAGAGGAGATAGTGTGACTTTTAGTTGTTCAGTCGTGGGGAACCCAACTCCCAGTGTTGTTTGGGAAAAGGACAGAAAAGACCTAAATGTAACAGGAAATAGTCGATTTAACTTGTCCTCAAGGGACAATAATCACAGTTTAGAAATTGCAGAAGTTCACCGCTCAGACTCAGGACAATACAGATGTGTAGCTGAAAACAGCAAGAATATATCATATTCATCTGCAGCTACCCTCACAGTGCAGTGTGAGTAAATTCGCTTTGAATGTTTTCAGATATTACCCAGTGTAGTTTCAAAAGTGCTGTGACATGCAATATTTTATTAAATTGCTTTGTTGCGTGCACAAGCTGTGTGCCGTAGTATGATATGAGAGGAAACGTTGCCAAAGGAAAAAAAAATTCATAATGCTACAAGTTTTATGTTTGAAGTCATATCGTTTTACTTCATTAGCATCGATATCTTCAAAGACGTCACTCTAAACAGGGACTCTTTCGCGCATCAAATGTGTGTTTGACTAATTGCTCTCCATAATCTGTCCTTGGCTTTTTAGTGGAGACGTTTAGCAATCATTAAC